GCCTTTTCTCGTTCTCCCTCGGTTGTTTCTCCATGAGTTGCGTAGGACTACAGTGTACAGTTGCTCATCTGTTTTAATCTGTCTTTGTCAAAAACTGCAAGAGCTTTTCGTCTGAATCAGATTATGACTGTTTTGTTTTTCATATTTTCTTTTTTTGATTATGTGAACCTAGTAATTGTTTGTGACAACCTCAATTTCCCCTGACAGCTAGTGACTATTCCTCCCTCGTTAGCTCCTGATATCTAAGATGAGCCTCCTAAAATGCATGCAAAAGGTCGTTTATGACGTCCGCAACGGATTTTCACGGGCATTTGTCAAATTCTTTAAAAACTGATGAAAGTAAAAACTTGCGCTTCGACCGATTTGATGTTTAGAATGCTAATCGCGCATTCCCAGGACAACTTTTGTCGAGGTACTGTTGTTGGCTAATCACAGAAACTGCCTTTATTACGAGAGCAATAATCACCATCCCCCTTCCCCAGAAAAAGCTTTTTAGTCGTGGATACGCCGAGCCTTTTCATGTAGATTAGCGTTCGGATTATCTCACTGAGTCGAGATGAACAAAATCTTCGTGTATACGACGCTGAAGAAATATTGAACAGGTCAAACATCAATTCCTTCGAGGTGTTCGAAATATTCCTTTGTTCTGTGTAAACTAGTGTAGTGAGATGTAACAGTAAGTCAGCAGATTTGTCCAATTTTACAACTTTAGCACCTCCTTCTGTTAGTGTCATTTTTTTATCATGTAATACTGGAATCCGTAAATTCGTTGCATCATTCTTACATTAAATTCAATTTTTCGTGTAGTTCCGAGAGTACTGTGTCATAATGATGCAGTGCATTAGTTAGGTTGTTAATCTGGTTCCTTGCGTCTTTCTCTATTCACAGCAAAAGGAGTTATTATTTTAGCAAAACCAATATTATATAGAATGAAAGTAGTATTTAAAAAGCAAGTGCAATTCTAAGATTATAATCTTTCATTAGTGGAGAAAATAAGATGTGTGACTAAGATAGGGGAAGGGCTGCTTTTTCTAACAATGTATATTAACTGCACACAAAATGACGAAACGCAAAATGAGGTGGTCCATGACCGTCTCAAAATTTATCCACGAATGGGTGGTAGATTCAGTAATATGGAAAGTGATGAAGATATAACGAAGATTGAAGAATGACTGCATCCTTCCTCCATAGTGTATATTAACTGAACGCCATACGTGCAACAATGCAACAAGACGAGATGGCTTACGACCTTTTCAGCATATACTCAGAGACTGGTGGTGAATTAAAGAATTTGAGAAGGAACCATCCCCATTTTTTCACAGTGCGTATTAGCTGAACAGCAAATGTGCAGCAACACAGAACAAGACGGCCTACGATCGTCTCAATTTGTCTCCAGGGATAGGTAATAAAATAAAAGCCCAAGCGTATAAATGCAGTACTATGAACGCAAGAATTCCATGGAGACTTACAGTACATATTTTAAATCGGGTTAGTTTAAGGAATGTTATAATTTATATATGTAATGGAGAGGTGGTAGATATTTATAACGAATATCAGGTAGAGACAGCAAATGCCCATATCAACATCTAAGAACGCAATAAATGTAATGTTTTGAAGGCATAATTTAGTAAAAATAAATGAAAATACGATAAAATTAAAATAACTAAATAGGAATGTTACGGTCTTTAAAGCCGCACACATTCCTGTCGGGCACTATGCCTGGATCTTGTCAGTACAACGGTTGTGGTCTCAAATGATGTGTTGTCCGTCGTTGAATCCGTTGGAATGACAACACCGGCCACCTCCTCAACACTTTCCTCCCACCACCTCCCTCAACACCAACTCATAGCTCACTGTCATGAACAATGCTCAACCACCCTCCGCCCCACACATAACGTCACAATGAGCAGCGTTAGACCGTTCATCGGGGCCTGTGGACTACGTACATCTCATCCTACGGTACCCACAGAATACCGTTTTGAGCCGTGCTGTGTAATGTAGCACAATATCACTGCCTCGAGAAGACCGCTGTTCAGCGCGGGGGCGCGGGGGGAGCGGAAACAGTGAGTGGATGGGTCGGGGCAAAGGCAGGGAAATATGATGGAGTTGTGGTGAAAACATAAGTTTCTTCTTTCCGACCTTGACTTTTCTGGAGTTTCCTACCGTTATTATGCTTAACCTCAATTGTTTTTGTCGAGTAGAGGTGACATAGATATATTTATGTGCTAGCAAATAACAATAAGAAACAAAAATGGGTGGAAGATAAGTCTGATGTCGGCAGACGGTGTCTGGTCGGTGTGACGATGTTGTGACGATGTTGTTGTTGGACGGCGTGCTGGTGTTGGCACACGGCGTCCGGTCGGCGTCGAAACAAAATGTTAACAGTGAAAATTCGCCGAAAAAATCGGTTACCGAGCCCATCTGGAGCTCCGCCTCGCTCCATTTAGGCCCGGTTTACAAAGAGAGCTGCATACATGATTGATGTTGGTGCCGATGTTTGACGGCGGCACCGTTATACGAAGGAAATTACTGTACTGCAAAACAAAAATTTATGTAAATGGGAACTGCATTCCCATTTCTTTTGAAACTACTATTCTATAGTTATCAAAACTATTATCTCTTAGCTACCACAAGCTTCTAACTCCCCACCCTCCCCAGGGTTGTAAAATTCAAATCCTGAGTCAGGGCATCATAAAAATTTCACGGGGCCGTATGTGAGAACTGCGCATGCCTGGGGGCTGAATTTCATAACTTTAAGTCACACATGGGCTGGGAACATTTCTTAAAAATTTCAGCCTCCCAGCTTTACTAGTGCCCGAGTTAGCCATTTTCCCGCCAAAAAATTTCACGGGGCCGTACGTGAGAATCGCTCACCGCTGAGGACTGAATTTGATAACTTTAAGTCATAAATGGGCTAGGAATAATCCCTGAAAATTTCAGTCTCCCAGATTTGTCAGTTCTCGAGTTAGCCATTTTCCCGCCAAGAAATTTCACGAGGCTGTGCGCACATCTGAAGGCTGAATTTGAAATTTTTGAGTTTTATTTGGACGGGGAACATAACCTCAAAATTTCAGCTTTCTATTTTTTCTCGTTCCAGAGTTAACAGTTTCCCAGCCAAAACTTTCACCCCCTCGTACGCGGGCCCTAGACTTGCGCGGGGGTTACTACTGCGCTTCTGGGGTGGCACTTGGCCGGGGAACCTGCTAGCAAAATCTTAGCGCTGGAACTTGCTT